TTGATGTATTTATCGCAGTCGCAATCGTATCACTTTTTGCCCATGGTTCCGGGAGCTCCTGGGCTGAGTGGTCGAGAATTCCACATCGCTTCGACTGAAAGCAGCATGCATGCCTGAAACAAACAACGAGTAGAACAACAACGTCAAATGTAGCGAATTTACAGCCGCTTGGTAATTATGAAAAGCAGTAGGCAGCCATGGTCTCGGAAAATCCCACCTCGTTGGTCATATGTTTCTAGAAAATCTTCAGCCATAAGCCGCTCGTGAAATCTTTTCGAAAGTAGGCCTTGCTCTCTTAGTCGGCTCTCCCACACTGAATTGAAGGGGGCGTCAATCTTTTGAGCGCTGCCTTCGGTAGTGCGAGCCATCGTAAAGGGAGTAACGGGTGGAAGTGTCATATTAAGGGACAGGTCAGGATGGTAATAGTATTAACAAAATACGGGGTCAGTTTCTCTAATAGACGAACTTTGCCAGAGAGTCCCGGAAACTCTACCTAACCTTTTGGCCCTACTGCTACTTATGCTGCTTTCAAACATGCAAGAAATGTTTTGAAGGTTTGTGTGATGGAAGCCAGGATGAACAAACGGTTCGAATATCCTATCCTATTCCAGATGGCATCGAAAAGATCACCAGAGGATTATCGAAGAACAACATACAATTGTCACGAGGAAACGGATTGAGAGCGACAGAGCGTTCATTTGCTACCTGAAAGCAAATACTAAATAAAGGTCGAGAGGCGAAATTGTGAAGACTAATTCGAATCTCTGTCAGCTGGAGCACTCTTATATAGTGGGGCCTTATATAGTGTCCTGGTGCGGCTCCTCCATTACTGCCATGCTTCAGGCGCGATTACTAAAGAATGCTCATGATTCTCCGCATGACATTTGTTGGCAACACTCTAAAAGCGGCTTCCGTCTTATGGCAAGCAAATGACAATGGAAGCAAAGTGAAAGGAAAGTTATGCTGATTAGCGCTCAAAGTGGTCGGCCAAACGCTTTCACGCTTTTTCGTTCACAACTTTTTTCTTACTGAAGCAGATCGCGCGAAATGTTGTTATGTTTAAGAGAAGCATATTTGCACCATCCAAATCTGTTTGAAGGCGAAGCAGCAACATCTACCACATAACTGGGTTCAGGGCGTTTTTTGCGGTAGCAGACTTTGCTTGAACAAAGTTGGTGGCATCTGCAATTATTCGCACATTATGTGCGTCATTCTCTCTACTGTGTTCGGCACTGACGCTCGTACCACTTAAGACATGGCAAAGAGGAAAGAAATCCAAGAAGGACCAATGTCTGTCTTCCCAGTTGATTTTGAGTTCAAGCCCTTCGAGATATCTTATACACGATCAAATTGCAGGCTGATAGTAGCAAACATTAACAATACACGAATGCTATACATATTGAAATTTCGTATGATCAGATCCAGTAGGAAAGAAGTTAACGACTGAAAAGTACAACTAAAGACGCGTTTCGCCGAATACTTTTGAGCGCTACTGTATATGAAATTAGTTAGCCAGCAGAGAACAGTACAACTGATAGATACCCCGTTGGGACAGTATTGGCCTTCCAAGTATTCACAAAGTTGCTCAAGCTTTCCAGATGGATACGACACCTCCATCTTACCTTGCTTGTTTTCATAGGATCAATAGTCATCTGACTAGTTAAGAGATTACGCCACATAGTTCAACTAACTTAGTGGATAACTACGTCAATGGACAGCTTCCAGTTATCAATTCAAACAATTCACGTGAGAAAGCTATTATGCCGATAACTTGCTATGTAGGAGGGTTGTGTGCGCTTCTCTCCCCCCTTCTTTGGTATATGCTTTCAGAAGTAGACCGGTTGGACCTCTTCAGGTTCTTACTTTTTTGTTCTGTTATGTATTTCTCTTGGAGATTTCAACAGAAATCGCAGCACGTCCTGGAATGACAGACATGTTCATCGCTTTTACTAATCATACGTCCCAGTGCCTAAAGAAGCTTGTAAAATGTTCACTTACACCTTCAAATCCTCCACTTGAGACCATACTTCAGGCTGCGAAACGCTTAATACCATCCAAGTAGGACTCGAGACACTTAGAAAATAGTGATTCCTTGAGAGGAACATATTATTGTAGGTAGCCTTATCGTAGCCCACAACAGCTGCAGTCCAAAGTTATCCTCTTCTCAGAGCGCCTAACGTTGGTGGCGCTTTTAGCAATTCGCCCGTTACGATCTAATCAGCATAACTTCCTTTCACTTTCGTTCCACTGTCATATGCTTGCTATAAGACGGTAGCCGCTCTTAGAGTGTTGCCAACAAATGTCATGCGGAGAATCATGAGCAGGCTTTAGTAATCGCGCCTAAAGCATGTCAGTAATGGAGGAGCCGCACCAGGGCACTATATAAGGCCCCACTATATAAGAGTGCTCCAGCTGACAGAGATTCGAATTAGTCTTCACAATTTCGCCTCTCGACCTTTATTTAGTATTTGCTTTCAGGTAGCAAATGAACGCTCTGTCGCTCTCAATCCGTTTCCTCGTGACAATTGTATGTTGCTCTTCGGTAATCCCCTGATAATCTTTTCGATGCCATCTGGAATAGGTCAGGGTATCCAAACCGTCTGTTCATCCTGGGTTCCATCACACTAACCTTCAAAACATTTCTTGCACGTTTGAAAGCAGCATAAGGAGCAGTAGGGCCAAAAGGTTAGGTAGAGTTTCCGAGACTCTTTGGCAAGTTCGTCTATTAGAGAAACTGACCCCTTATTCTGTTAATACTATTACCATCCTGACCTGTCCCTTAATATGACACTTCCACCCGTTACTCCCTTTACGATGACTCGCACTACCGAAGGCAGCGCTCAAAAAATTGACGCCCCCTTCAATTCAGTGTGGGAGAGCCGACTAAGAGAGCAAGGCCTACTTTCGAAAAGATTTCACGAGCGGCTTATGGCTGAAGATTTTCTAGAAACATATGACCAACGAGGTGGGATTTTCCGAGACCATGGCTGCCTGCTGCTTTTCAAAATTACCAAGCGGCTGTAAATTCGCTACATTTGACGTTGTTGTTCTACTCGTTGTTTGTTTCAGGCATGCATGCTGCTTTCAGTCGAAGCGATGTGGAATTCCCGACCACTCAGCCCAGGAGCTCCCGGAACCATGGGCAAAAAGTGATACGATTGCGACTGCGATAAATACATCAAGCTTCCGTGTGCCTTTTCACAGATTGTGGAAGATCTTCTGTTTAATTGGTTCGCACCTTCCTTGTGCCATCCTAATCGTGAACTTAAGTATAGCACATGAAAACAACAGTTGCCGGACAGAAAACAGCATAGAGGGCTATCTGAAAGCTTCGGGACAGGACAGTTTAGTATATTCCATAGAATAATCAGTCTATCACGTCTTACTTTTAAGTGCCTTCGTGGATCATAATGTTAACGTAAAGCTCGATTTCAATTCGCACAGATTTGGAGATTTGACAAAAATTATCAAAGCATGGTTGGAAAGTAATGCAACATTTCCCATATAGCACTGACCTCTTGCCATCCTGTCGTGCCGTTCGGACGACTTAAAGGACGGCCTAGCCGTGGCGCGCCCGTAGTCCCGCCGGGAAGGCATCGTACGCTGCAGTGAGCTAGAGTTTGCCACGTGGCGGCGGACTCTAGCTGCTATCGGCGTTTGCATCACTTATTCACCATCGTGTCAACGCCGTAGCGGCTGCTTTCGACTACTCTTGTGCCTTTCAACGTCACTAACATCGACGTAGCCCCCGATGGGCTCATAGCACCACTACTATGCCATCTCTAGGTGGTGCCAAGCTGCATGGTACGAAGCTGAATGGGAACAACTGGAAAGATGGTCCGTAGCAATCGAGGACCTGCATGCGGCGTAGCCAAAAGGAGGTGGGAAGGCTTGGATGGAACCCGAATGAGGATGAGATCGGATCGTACCCAGACCGTAGGTTATAGTCTGGTTATATTCATGTATGTTTATTTGCATTTTTTCTCATAGTATTTTTCCGTAGTATTTTCTCACAGTATTTTTCATAATGCCTTTTCTCATCGTCATCGTAGGCAGAGTAACCCTGCAGTGAACTGTAACAAAGCATGCAGCCACAACACCGGCTAAAAGACGCAAACGGAAGCCAAGATCGGCAAAAACTACTCGCAAATTTACTCGTGCTAAGTAGGTGTTGATTTCAAGCAGTTAAAGGCGTTCGCATTCAATTCCATCTGTTTTCGCAGTGTCTTAGGGCGTAAGATATGCTCTAGCACTACATCTGCCGCGTACGCACGCATTCTGCGCAAGCCGCGAATATCATTCTTACGAAGTACATTTGCGTTTTAAATCATCTTAGCCTAGCGAGATCAGCATCGCACGAGGTGGTAGTCTCGTTGTCTATCATGGTTGGCTTCAGTTTTCCTCACATTATCGCTCTACCAATGTCGTATATGAACTCCTTATTGGATTATGACGGTCGCAGCTGTTGATCAGGTAAGCTTTCTCTCTTAGTGTATTTTTTTTNTTTTTTTTGTAAAAGTCGTAGACATGCCGTAACTTCGGCGCAACTCACGCATGCAGCGTTATGACTCAGTTTTTATTTGTTTATTTGTTTTTACATTTTTTGTTTTATATTCATAGCCGATTCGTATTATGTAGTTCCCTCCTCCATCCTTTCCTTTCCTTGTTGCACGCAGCGCAGTCGCGGGGATGACGAGTTTTTCTTTTTAGCCCGCATATTCGTATTTGTTTTTCATGGAGTATTTTCTCATACTAGTTTCGTAGTACAGCGTACTCGTCATCCCGTATAAAATCGGCATGTTTACGCGCAAAACGTAGTATAACTGCAGTTTTCTTAGTCAATAGTTGTTTTTCATCTTAGTTAATAGTAGTTCCACTATAGCCAACAGTCTTATCATAACCTGATCACCGTACTGCCCTTCTATTTCTAACGCAGACGCAACGGTGACGTATTTTTTGTTTAATCTTTATTTGCGCAGTGCCAGCTTCGGCGCAAAGGTACTGTGCTCGTAGGGAATAACTCATAACTCAATCACAGCTTAATTTTGGTTTAGTTGAGCTGTTTAATTCTTAGTCGTAGTATTAACACTTCACATTTAATCACGTTTTAGTAGTAGCATAGCAAATTTATAACCATAGCACATTACTAACTTTACATCATTTCATTACTCACTTTAGTGAGTCAACTTCTTCTTGAGAGGGGACGAAGCAACCTTCGGATGCTTCTCCCTTCCGCATCCTACTTTGCTGAGATTACCCGTACCATCATTAATTTTGGCATCTTCGCATTGCAAATTCTTTTGGCGCACGCGAAGCTCAGTTGGCTGTCCGCAGTCAATGCAGTGTCCCTGGGGAAGCGAAGGGAGACACTATTTTTTCTTTTGCATGTCCCGGGTGTATCCTTTCGTCGAAGTTTCCCCTTCTTTTTAATTGGCCTTGGGGTTTCTTTTGCTAGCGAGGTAAAACTCTCCCCCTCGCACCAAAATTTCCCCTTCATAGTGAGGCAAAACTCACAAGTAGGCGAAAAACATCCCGTAGTCCTTGTCGTAGTCGTCGCAAACGAACATCCGCAACGCCACGCAACTACGTCGTCTTCTTGTTGGTCGTACGAGAGCAATATCTGCGATTGGTCGTAGACGTCGTCA